CGCCCCCCGCGCCGCCGCCGCCGCCGCCGCCCCCGCGGGAGTAGAAGTACTGTCCCGGGGGCGTGGGCGTCGTCGTGATCACGCCGTTACTGTTGGGGACGATCAGGCGCTCCAGCTCGGAGGAGGCGAGCTTCAGAGACGCGCCCGTGTCGGAACCCTGACCGGGAAAGTAGCTGCCGGCCGCGCCGCCCTCGGGGCCCGGGCCGCGCGCCCCGGGCGCTTTGAGCCCGCGGTACGGATCCGCCAGGTTGAGCGCCAGGCTGGGTTTCAGGAGTTTGTAGTCGTGGAGCGAGAGGCCCCCGGGGGTCCGGCCGTATCCCGCCGCCGCCGCCGCGTACGAGTCGTCGTGGTAGAAGGGCTGTTCCATTTTAGTACACATCCGGGCGGCCCGGGAGGTCTGGGGGTGGGGGTCTCCGCGGGGGGCCGCCCCGGGCCCTCGCGGCGGCGATCGGGGTCCGCGCGCCTCGGCCGGATCGTCCCCCACGCCTTCCCCGCTCGCTCCGGTCCGTCCGGTCGCGCGTTCCTCTTCCCCCCCCGCGGGGTGGGGTGAGGGGAGGGGGGTGCTCGGTACCCACCGAGGGCGGGAGCCTGGCGGGCGCGGGCGCTCGCTCGGCGGGGCCCCTCCGGTCCTCCTCGGGTGCGCTCGCGGGCTCGGCGTCGCTTCTCCCCCGACCCCTGCTGCTGCTGCGGCGGCGGCGGCGGCTCCCCGGCTCCCCCCTCAGGCTGAACTCCGACGCTGGCCCGGCCGCCCTCCAGGATCCAGCCGCTCAGCCCGAGCCCCAGGCTTTTATACCGCGTGTGTCAGCTGCGGAAGTGCGCCGTGATTGGCCGGAGCGGGAGCCGGGCCCCCGCGCCCCCCTCCGGGAGCGTGGGGAAGGGGAGGAGGCGGCTCGCGTCACTGTCAGGAAGCGCGTGTCCTTGTAAACAGCGGCCACGGGCCGGGCGGCGCGGCGCGGCCGCAGGGGGAGGAGGGGCCCCGGGGACCCCGGAGGACGTGCGAGGACCGGGTTATAGGACTTGGGGGACAAGGGGGTGTCAGGTCTGGGGCGGACCCGGAATAGCTGAGATTGGAGGGCAGGACAGACAGACGATGCACTAGAAGACATCATTCCCGCCCCCCACCTTCAAAAACAAGAAGCCAGGAAAGGAAGGTTACACAGTGAATTGGTCAAGTGGGAGATCCCCGACGCTGGAACTGACTAGGGTGGGGGGAGATGTGCCAGACTCGAGGTGGGGGGGGGGTTGAAGGTCGGACAATTCCAGAGGGGGTCAGCGGGGGGCTGAGGGACCCTTTATCACTAGGGGTTCTCAAGAGTCCGAACTGAGGGGTTCCTTCCTCAGGGGGAAAGGGCAGGAAATTGAGATTAAACAGAGAGTGCGCAAAAGTCCTGGGGTCACTGAGATTAAATATATAGGGTGGGAGGGATGGGGATGTGTCTGTGATCACCTCTAGGGAGCTACGAGGAAAATGACAGAATGACAGGAGGGTATCTAATGGGGACAGGACCGAAAAAGGGTCGGTCTGTCGTCTGTCAGTCTATCTGTCTCTCTCTGTGGTGGGTGACCCCCCTCCCCCCAGGCACCTGTAAACTCTGTCCCCTACATCAAAGGCCTGCCCGAGTCACCGTGGGCTGGCCCGATGGCGTGCCAGCTCCCGGGGCCTGGACCCAGTCGGACGGCCGGGGCGCGGTCGGTCGCCCAACCCCACTCCCTTCCTTAGAAACAGGCTGTGGAGGCAGGAAGTGTGGCAACAGCCCCGGGGGGGCGGGGAGCCCGGCCCTGTCTCCGTCACTCCGCTGCGATCCTAGGGGACCGCGCGCCCCCGTCCTGAGTCCTGCGCTCGGGAAGAGAAGCCTGGGCCAGCGAGCCCAGCGGAGGGGCGCGCAGGGCCCCCGACCCCGGGGGCAGGCCTGCCAGCACCTTCTCCCCCGTCCCTCCCCTAATGGTTCCGCCCGGAGCTCCCGCAGGCGGCCGCGGAGGCCGGCCGCGCGCGGACTGTTCCATTCGGCCGCCGGAGGTGGGGGGGGATGCAGCCGGACCGGGATGCCGCCGGAGAGCGGGGCCTGGTCGCCATGGCAACAGGCAGGAGTCGGCGGGCAGGACCAGGGGCGGAGCGACACCCCCCCCCGGAGTTTCTCCCCAACGCCCATATTAGGGCACAGGAAGGGGTGGGACCAGCGTTTTGTCCAAGGGCCAGGAGCCTGGAGCTGGGGTAGCTGCCAGGTCCCAGGGCGCGCCCAGGCCCCCGGACGGCTAGTCTCGACCAGCCCCGGCCGCCACCCCCGGGGCCCCCACGGCGGCCTGGCCC